CTATGGACATCTGTTGAAGTGACAGCATCTGGCGCTGGAAGTCACCCGTGGGGGTAGGGGGGACTGTGAGATTGGACTTTGAGTCCATGGTACAGCCACACCCCCTTGTAAGGTCTCTGTTACCAGAGTATTGAGTCAGTAGTGTCTCGCTCTTGCCTCTACCTCATTGGGGACTCCTGCCCCTACCTCACAGGGGACTCTTGCCTTAACGTCACAGGGGACTTTAGCCTCTGCTTCAGCGGGGACTCTTGCCCCTGCCTTTAGACAGCAATGCGGTGTAAATAAGTAGATAAGCAAATAATGGTGAGAATACGCAGTGGTCAGATATTCCTCTTTATCTCAGTAACAAGTCATGATCTACTAACATAATCTTGTTGTTTGTTGCCCACCTGGACTGCCATCAAAACACAGTCAATAACCTCGGTAATTACAGTGGTGGCACTGATCATTATTCGTGGTGCCAGCACCAATCAATGGCCAACATGCCAGCACCTATCAATATCAGCAGTGCCAGCACCGATCAATAACCAGTACTGATCAATTTGACACCTGCATACAGGCACCACCCCATGTAGATAAGATAAGTTAACAAAACTATACAATTATCAGTGGAGTAATCCCGTACTCTTCTCTGAGAAAACACACCGTCTATTTCCCTCCCACTTAATAGCGTGTTCATTACGGAAGTGCGCAAAAACCATAATAACAGCATTCGATCATATAGACTTGTGGCACATGGGAAGAAAATTTATATTTACTTGTGAAAATGTCAGTCAAGTGTAGCTCACGTGTGCTCTAATTAAAGTGCACACATTGACTGAACTCCAGTGAGTGCGTGCAGAAAGCGGGACGGCCGCTGGTGCACCTTTACCCCCCAGGGAGAGAAGCCAATTACCCAACATCTTTATCCCGGCAGCAATGAAGAGTCGTCTGTGTGATTCTTTGATGGCACTCTGCTATTGAGGCTCGGGGCTAAAACCACGCAGCATCCTGGTTTGCCAGTCGCTCTTAAATTAGCAGATTATTATTATTTTTGGGTTATGCCACTTAATGTTTGTCCTGCTTGTCAGCTTGCTGTATAGGCTCCACGCGGAAGAGGCTGCACACTGCACCACTGCAGGTACTACACGCTGCACCCCTGCAGCTATACTTTCATCATCTGCACAGCTGGACATCTCCCTGGCTTTTTTCAAGCATCTGATACCTTCTGGACAGATGTGCAGTTACTACCTGCTGCCAGGTTAAGCATTACTGGTGTACTCCTGGGATGCACTGGTGTACTCATGTTTCAGTGATGACCGGCAGACCTGTTATTACAGTGCAGTTCTGCTGGAGAGAGTAATACTTTGCCAGCACTGTTAGGAGAGCCAGGCCGACCTGGTTCCAGTCCCAGGAGAGTCAGGGCCTGCTGTTCTGTGCTCTAATGGCAGCTCAGTTCACCTGTTGCCTCAGGAGTAAATCAGTTGTTGAATATGAGGTAAGTCTGAGACCCACAGGACCATAGGACCAGCTTCCCCTTGCCCGACTAGTCGGGAATACCAGGAATGCCATGTGATCCTGCATGTGTGCAGCAGATGAGCCGAGGGCGCAGTGGGGGGTCACCTTTAAACTCAGCGGTACTGGGGTTGATATGCATCCGCTTCTGGCACTCTCCACAGCTCATGAGGAAGCGTGTGACAGCCTCCCGCGGCAGGAAGGCATATGTCTCTGCGATCTGCAGGAGAAACACACACAGAAGTGCAGTGGGGTTAGTGCCACCCTGTGATGGACTAGCATCCTGGCCAGGAGATGCCCTCCTGCACGGGACAGTCACAGGCCACCTGTACCACTGGACAGGAGAAGCACTTGAAAGATGAATGGATAATAATTATAATGACCATGATTGGGAAATAGTGATCACTGGTGGGCTAACCCCGACAAGACGCTGCCTAACCGTAAGCTTAAGCCTAACACTAAACCTCCCCCTGGGAAGATGATGGTTAACCCTAATCCTAACCCTAAGCCGAAATAATCAATCTTTATTTATATAGCACTGTTTTAATCAGAAGGTTTACAAAATGCTTTACAGACATTTTAGAAGAAGAAAAACACATAAATTAAAATAAACACACAAAAAATAACAATAAGCACAAAAAACGTTATCCATAGGAGACTTTAACCCCTACCACACAGAAGACTCGTGCCCATACCTTACACTGGACTGTAGCCCCTGCCTCACCGGGAACTCTAGTCCCTGCCTCACCGGGAACTCTTGCCCCTGCCTCACAGGGGACTCTAACTCCTAATGAAGATTCGTAGACAGCAATGTGGTGTAAATAAGTAGATAAGCAAATAAAGGTGAGAAGAAGCAGTGGTCAGATTTTCCTTTTCATCTCAGTAACAGCCATGATCTACTAATATAATCAAGTTGTTTGTTGCACACCTGGACTGCCATGGAAACACAGTCAATAACCTCAATAATTGCAGTGGCAGCACTGATCAATACCCACAGTGCCGGCACTGATCAATATCCATGGTGCCAGCACCTATGAATTACCAACTCGCCAGCACCTATCAATATCAGCAGTGCCAGCACCGATCAATAATTGTGATGCTGGCACTGATCAATATCCGTGGTGCCAGTACTGATCAATTTCACACATGCATACAGGCACAACCCCATTTAGGTAGGATAAATTAACAAGACTATTCACTTATCAGTGGAGCAATCCAGTACTGCTCTCTGGGAAAACACACCATTTATTTCCCTCCCGCCTAATAGCATGTTCATTAAGGAAGTGCATGAAAACCACAATAACAGAATTCAATCATATGGACTTGTAGCACATGGGATGAAAATGTATTTTTACTGGTTGAAATGTCAGTCAAGAGTAGCCCATGTGTGTCCTAATTAAAGTGCACACATCGACGGAACTTCAGTGATCGAGTGGAGAAAACAGGACAGCCCCTCCTCCTACCTGACGGCCTCTCTTGTGGCCTGACGGCACCCCTTCCTGCCCGATGGCCCCTCTTGTGGCCTGACGGCACCCCTTCCTGCCTGATGGCCCCTCCTCCCTCCTATCTGATGGTGTGATGGCTCCTCGTCCGGTATGATGGCCCTCTTCCTGCCTGATGGCCCCTCCTCCCTCTTATCTGAAAGCCCCTCCTTCAGTATGATGCCCCCCCCTTCTGTGTGATGGCCCCTCCTCCTGTTTGATGGCTCTCTTCCTGCCTGATGGCCCCTCCTCCCTCTTATCTGACAGCCCCTCCTTCAGTATGATGCCCCCCCCTTCTGTGTGATGGCCCCTCCTCCTGTTTGATGGCCCCTCCTCCATCTGCCATATCTTTACCCCCCAGGGAGAAGAGCCAGTTACCCAACATCTTTATCTAGAGCATGGTATATGGGGTGGTCCGTGAGGTGCTTTGATGGCACTCCGCTATCGAGGCTGGAGGTTAAAACCATGCAGCATCCTTGTTTGCCAATCTCTGTCCATTACCTAACAGCGTTCTGCAGTTCCTACCTCACAGGGGACTCTACCCCCTACCTCACAGGGGATTCTAGTCCCTGCCTCACCAGGGACTCTAGCCTATACCTCATTAAGTGCTTTTACACCGAAGTTCTGGAACTTGGTCGCAGTTTACAAGTTCCTGGCCACTTTTGTGTGTTGCCTTCTCACCACACAACAGGAACTGCACCCATTATGGAGATGCAAAAAGCTCGTAGGTTAAACTTCATGCATAATTTCTTATGAAACTACACCACCAAACCAAAGCAATGGAGAATATATAAGTTGTTTTCTTAGATATTTGTTAGTTATTGGAGAGATCGATCAAAACCGGACACAGCCTTTTGTTTATTTTTTACTTATACGACCCGCAACATGTTTATGATTCTTATTAAATCTGGCCAGCAGATTGATCTTTCATTTTCTAAAGAATAAAAAACGTAATGTTCTCCTGCAAATAAGCACTGGCAAGTTTCACTGCTGGCATCAGCAAATTAGACATAAGTATACTGATTATCGATTGAATTTTCCAATGCAATATGGGGACACAACCAACAAAAAAAATATTCATTAAATGTAACTGAAGGAAAAAAATTATTCCATTTGCTTAGTTTTTGCTCTTCTAATTATATCTGTTTTCTCTGCATTTCTGCATAATTTCCAATTTCCAACAAATCTACAAGCTGTCGCTGTAAGCACCTCCCCAGTAGTTTGTGTTCGAAAGAAAACTACCTAGTATGAAGTGTAGGTACTAAAAAAGGGTTCCGGAAAAGCCTCAGAGGAACTACAACTGACAAGAGTGCATTAGAGTAATCTACCCTATTTTAGACAAAAGGATGTATTCGTTTTTCGCAGTCAACGTAACACTAACCCTCCAGGAAGATGCTGCTTAACCCTAATCCTAGCCCTAAGCCTAACACCAACCCTGCCCCGAGAAGATACTGCTTAACCCTAATCCTAGCCCTAAGCCTAACACCAACCCTGCCCTGAGAAGATGCTGCCTAACCCTAACCTTACTGCTAAGCCTAACACTAACACTCCCCCATTCAATGGTGACAGACCTCCTGAGGGCGGGCTTCTCACATTCAGCCATAGGAGTTTCATGGGATGCTGCCTCGCCTGCTCTCCCAATCTGACTCTCCCTACACAGACCAGGCTTATTCTCCCATCTCCACCCTCTGCAAGGATTTGGAAAGTTCTGCCAGTGCATATATTATTGGCAGGTTTTCCCTCACTATCTACAAACCCAGTGCCTTTTTCCTTCAAACCCCTTGTAATTTGTGTCAGTGTTGCTGATTGTGACCTCTATATGACTTTTGCCCCCTGGGACCTGACCAAGGCAACCCCTGACCCCCCACCACACGCACACACACACAATATGTCAAATTGCCACTTGGGTCAGACATCGCAGAGTGCTGTACAGTTCAAAGGGAAGTCAATTTAAATGCTGATGTGTAGAGTAGGTGGGGCACAGTGTTTAGTGAAGAGGGGGGGTACAGGCTAATATACAGTGTTTACAGGAGGTGGGGTGAAAGACTGATACAAAGTAACTAGAGGAGGTCGTGGTACAGACTGATATAGTGTTTAGTGGAAGTGAGGATAGAATGAAATATACAGTGATCAGAGGATGTGAGGATACAGTCTGATACACAGTGTTTAGAGGAGGTGGGGTACCAGCTGATATACAATGTTTAGATGTCATGCGGGAACANTAGAGGAGGTGGGGGTACATACTGACATACAGTATTTAGAGGAGGTGGGTGTACACACTGATATATATTGTTTAGAGGAGATAGGGGTACACACTGATATACAGTGTTTAGAAGAGGTGAGCATACACACTAATATACAGTGTTTAGAGGAGGTAGGGGTACACACTAATATACACTGTTTAGAGGAGGTGGGGTACACACTGATATATATTGTTTAGAGGAGGTGGGGTACACACTGATATATATTGTTTAGAGGAGGTGGGGTACACACTGACAC